TCGAGCGTTAATCCTGGCTGAATCAAAATCACGTTTTGTTTTCACCCAATAATTTTCATTTTAAATAATATTTGTTTTTTCTTGACGATTTATTGACAGATTTATTTATATGACAAATACATAGTGTTGTATAAAACAGATCAATATACTATGATATAATACACAAAAATCGATTTATACTATATTTGCTGCATATTGAAACAGAAAATGAGATAATTGGAGTAACAAATCTCATCTACTCCAGAATCTTGCAATATTTAAATTCTTCCTTATATTCTTGGAATTATCTTTGACTCTCATAAAAAAATTATTTTTGAGTTACCTTTGACTCTCATAAATTAATTTAATATTTAATTTTATGGTCAGCAAAAAAAATTGAAGCTCTTCTTAAGCGCGGGTCAAAATTGAATATTATTTTTATTGTAAAAAAATCATAGATGTAATTATTTTAACTAACATAAATAAACTATATAAGAAGCGCGGGTCAAAATTGAATATTATTTTTATTGTTCAAAAATCCAAGATGTAATTATTTTAACTAACATAAATAAACTATATAAGAAGCGCAGGTCAAAACTGAATATTATTTTTATTTTTCAAAAATCATAAATGTAATTATTCTAACTAACAAAAACAAACTATATAATTTGATTAACATATTTATTGGATTTAACTACAAATTTGTAATACAATTTTGGGCATTTTCAATAGTATTGATTTTTCAAATTTACTTTAGGCCATGGACCCATCCAATTTTGGTTTTAATCTAATATGTGTTTTAGTTTTTCATACTTTCACAACACTTAATTTTCTAATTCTCGGTTCAATCACAAACTGACTTGGTTATGCAAAACTCAATGAAAAGATCTTACTAAAACGTTAAATATACATCAAATTTCACATATAAAACTATCATATAATAAAAATAGAATCATTTGATACATTTTGTTACAACCAAAATAAAACCCGCGCTTCTCAAGCACGGGTCAAAATCTAGTATATTTTATGTGTAGAAGGGGACTTATAGTGTCTATCCTAAATATAAGGAATGGTAGTATCTCTTATTTCTAATGTGTTATAAATAGGTCCAACTTTAAATGACAACATTTTTAAGTAGATAAAATTTAGGACTCTAAATTAATAGAGTAGATGTAATATTCTGTTTTTAAATAAATCCTTGTGAATACACTAATATTTACCTTAATAAGTGATTTCGACCTTTTATTAATTGTAATATTTATTTTACATCTTTCTGGAGATTTTTTTGTTTGAATTTAATTGTGATATAAAAGTTTCTAAATTATTAAATTTTGAATTTAAATCTTTGATCGCTTAACAACTTAGGGCTTGATTGGTGGAGCATTAGCATAAGAATTATGTTTTCTATTATCCAATCAACATTTTACAAAAGAAGCATTTAGAAAACCATTTATCAAATGCTAATGCTCTTTGCTCAATGCTCTCATATGGAGCTTTTGGAAGAACATTTACAGTTAAAATATATAAAACTTAAAAAAATAATTATATATAATTAATTTTTTTTTAATAATATAAAAATATTTGTATAATCAAAAAATATATTTAAAAATATTTGTATAATCAAAATATATAATATAATTTAAAAGGCTTAAAAGAATATTTCACATCTAAAATATAATATAATTTATATAATTACACATATCGTTCATTATTTTTAATAACAAAACATAATATATATTTATGTATTATAGATATAAACACACAAACACACTTATTTTGTAACGAAAAAAATTCTCTACAACGACACTTAATATGAAACGGAGGGAGTATTAAAAATATACTAGATTTTGATCCGCGCTTGGAAAGCGCAGACATTTTTTATGACTAAAAACTTATATAATTGGGTTTTGTCTTAATTTAAAGAATGTTTTGGTATAAAACTAGTTTACCAAAATTTGTGGTGATAGTTGTTTTTCATTACTTTTTAGTTTCAGTTTTTATTTTTACGTTTTGTTTTAAATTTTGGTTTTTGGTTTTTAGTTTTTAGGTTTCTATTTTTTATTTTCAGCTTTTGGTTTGGGTTTTTAATTTTTAGACCCGCTGAGTTAGTTTGAACTGATATTACTAACAAACAAATTTCAATTAATCGAACATGTAATTTAAAACTGAAAAGATGACAAAATAATTTTCTAAAAATTTTGAAATAGTTTATTTTGTAAATAAAAAAAGCAAAAAATATAACCTACGTTTTCAGCTTTTGGTTTTGGATTTTAGTTTTTAGATTTGGTTTTTGGTTTTTGGTTTTGCTTTACATTTTTTTTTTAAATCTGTAAATTATTTAAGAAAAATAAAAAAATAAAAAATTTAAAAGTTACCATTAAGATTTATCAAGATAGAGGGATTGTTATTTAAAATAAAATATACATGTTTTAAAGTACATGATTTAAATAAGTGATTAAAAATAGATAATTTTGTTTTGTTGAAAATATTAAATATTTTTGGGCTAAAAAATATTTACATGTTTTAAAGTACATGATTTAAATAAGTGATTAATAATAGATAATTTTGTTTTGTTGAAAATTTTAGATATTTTTGGGCCTGAAAATAGTAATTGATTTTTGATCCATTAAGGTGAAAAGTTTATTTAATGTTTTGTGAAGTTTTTCTTTAATACTAAGCCCAGAAACCAAACAATTAAATGTCATAAAAACAAAAGTAAGCCCAAAACTCTATTCCATAAATAACCGTCGGTTTAATTTAAGTAATGCGGTTCAATCAACTATATAACTTGTATTATTTGTAACACTCTAGAAATGGTCCAAATTTAAATGACAATTTGTATTAGTAGATAAAAATAATGACTCTATTTTAATAGAATACTAGATTTTGACCCGCGCTTGAAAGCACAGAAATTTTTTACGACTAAAAATTTATATAATTGGGTTTTGTCTTAGTTTAAAGAATATTTTGATATAAAATCATTTCACCAGAATTTGTGGTGATGATTATTTTTCATTAGTTTTTAGTTTTAATTTTTGTTTTTTAGATTTTAGTTTTTAGTTTTTAAGTTTCTATTTTTCATTTTCATTTTCAGTTTTTGGATTGGATTTTTAATTTTTAATCCCGCTGAGTTAGTTTTAACTAATATTACCAACAAACAAATATCAAATAATCGAACATCTAATTCAAAACTGAAAAGATGACAACAAATTTAAAAAAAAAATTTTGAAATAGTTTATTTTGTAAATAAACAAAGCAAAAAAATATAACATGTGTTTTCAGCTTTTGGTTTTGGATTTTAGTTTTTAGATTTGGTTTTTGGTTTTGCTTTACATTTTTTTAATCAGTGAAATATTTAAGAAAAATAAAACAATAAATTATTTATAAGTTACTATTGAAATTTATCAAAACAAAGTGATTGTTATTTAAAATAAAAAAAAAATATTAACATGTTTTAAAGTACATGATTTAAAAATGATTAATAATAGATAATTTTTTTGTTAAAAATATTAAATACCTTTTGGGTCTGAAAATAATAATTGATTTTTTGATCTTTTAAGGTGAAAAGTTTATTCAATGTTTTTAGAGTTTTTTCTTAATACTAAGCCCAAAAAGCAAACTATATAATTTTTTTCAAAATATAAAAGTAAGTCCAAGACTATATTCCATAAATAACTACTGGTTTAATTTACGTACTAGATTTTGACCCGCGCAACCGCGCGGGTGTTTGTTTTCGTTTATAGGTATAAACATTTTGTTTTCACTTGTAAATTGGTATATATTATAGTAATCACATATTTACGATATGCATAGTAAATGTCTTTCAAACATAATAATATTATATAATAAGTGTTTTAATCAAATAGATTGTTTCAAATTTTCTATATTATACATGACTTTCAAACATGTGTTTGTTTCTTCTTCTATATTTTATTGTTTGTTAGATTAGTATTTCATTTTTAGATAAAGTAATATAAATAGAGCTTAATTAAATATTAGTGTAATTTAATTTGAAAAGATAATATAAACTTCGAAGAATTTTTTGCTAAAAACTAAACTTATAGCTTCATAAATTAATATTATAAAAAGTTTATTAAAAAGGAACTTTTTAAACAATTTCTTTTTTTTTTAAACAATACAATTTTAAAATTTTACATCGAAATAAATTTATCTAATATATATAACGTGTAAATTTTGTTAAGGTATATAAATATTACATATTAATAATCTGTGATTTTTGTTAATATATTCTGAATGCATTTAACTATTATTGACATATTTCCTTATAAATAATAGAAGATTCCTAAATTTATATCTATTGACATATTTTGCGTGACTAAATTGGAAGGTGTGGGGTAATTTACCAAAACAAAATTGTTAAACATATTATAAGATATAATAATGATAATATTATTAGAGAGTTAATATAACATAACTTTCTAGTAACAGTTCATTTTTTAAAAAATCACACATGAAATCAAGTCATGACTTCTGTTTTAATATATAAGATAATTAGTAGATTTCCATATTCCATATTTTGATGATATATATTCTTTTATAATATTCCATATTTGTAGGAGAAAATATGTGTTTTCAGTATACACATAGATACCTGTCATATTTTGAAGGTAGTTTACATTAAGGTCGTCTCTTTACATTAATTGTGTTGGTTTAATTTAAGTAATACAGTTCAATCAATTATATGACTTATATTAATTGTAACATTCTAGAAAGAGTCCAAATTTAAATGATAACTTGTATCAGTAGATAAAAAGAATGACTCTGTTTTAATAGAGTAGATATATATATATAAGTAGATTATATATATGATTTTCTTTATTTGATCCATCTATGCTAAATAATTGATAAGACCAAAAGAATAAATGGAAAACTTGGTGGTCAAGTTGCTTGCTCTGTATTTATAGAAGGATGTAGGTGGAGATAATGTGAACGTCTCTCGAGTTAGGGTTCTTTCTTCTTCTTAGTTTTGTTTTAATTTACTGTTGCAAAGAAAATTGATCATGTCTCTCCTTCTGGGCGGCCACTCCCCGAAGCTCTTCATTCGTAAACCGGTGCTGGCAAGAGCCTGTGCTGGCGGTTCATTTTCACTGGTGCAAACCCCTCCTTGTTTCGTCATTAGCGCGGATCCTTATGGGGCGGGTCGTCGTCTATTAGTCCATTATGCATACTTTATGGAAAATCGTCCTTTATTGATAAAACAGGTGCCTGTCGAGTTGGTGTATAACAATGAAGCGGTAACAACAATCGGGTCCTCTCATGGCTGGGTAGCCTCTTTGATGCATGACGTAGGCACTCTGCGTCTCCATGATGATCTAAACCCGGTTGAATCTATTAAACCAAAACTCATATCGCTGCCTCCTCTTGTAACTTTGCCTCATTGCCAAACCCAAATCATCACCAACGTGTCCTTGTCCTCACTATCCCCAGAGGAAGAAGATTGTGTCGTGACTGTCAAGTTCATGGGACCCCAACTCAGCTACTGCAGACCCTCTGCTGCTCAAGGCAACTCCAAGTGGTTCAACATCAGGATCGCAAACCCTAGCTTCTTCTCCTCCAGTGTCATGTTTTCCAAGAAACATAACAAGTTTTGCATACCTGGAGCTGGAGGCAAACTCATTGCATCATGGGATCTCTGCAAAGACGAGCACACACCCAAGATTCAGGTGTTGCGATACCATAACCTTCCCGAGCTGAGCGTAGCCGAACGTGAGGTTATGGATACCTGTCTCACCACCCAACACTTGGTGGAATCACAATCCACAGGTGAAACCTTTTTGGTCAAGTGTTTCAGACAGACCGTGGACGGTGGTGGTACCAGTTTGAAACCAAAAGCTGTAATGGTGTTCAAAGTAAGCGCCAATGGAGATGCATTTTACACTAGAGACATTGGCGATCTCACCATTTTCATCTCAAAGTCTGAGCCATTCTGTGTCCGTGCTAGCTGTTTTCTTGGGGTGCGTCCTAATGAGGTCTATATCTTGGATGCCGACGAGATTTCATTTTTCAAGCTTGATAATTCTACAATCTCAACTTCTAGTGAAAGAGTCGGAGTCGTGTTCCCTTACTTTTTTCCACCTCAAAATATAGAATATTAAGTTTGGGATTGAGTTTTGAGTCTAGAGTCTGTGTCTTCTCTTTAAAAGCTTTCAACCTATCAAAATATATTATCTATTTTAGTTTACTCTATTATATGTGAAAGTAGAGTTCCAGTTAATCAAAATTAATCAGTTACGTTCTTCCAAAAACCCTTACAATGACTAAATTCTCCTGTTAAGATTTACAAGACTCTATTTGTGTGAACTTATGCAGAACAGAGAGAGCTTTGGATAAGAGATGTGAGAAACAAGAGAAAGAGTATACTTACTCAGCCCTGATAATCAGCTCTTTAAACACCATAAACCTGCTATAAGCTTCTGCAACTGTGATCATTCACATCTATGATCCTTAACTCTTGATGATCAGATCACTTCTTGATGCATTTATAGCTTCAATACCTGAGATAACCACGCTGAAAACTCTCCACTAATAAATTTAAATTCCACTACTGATTATCAACAGATTTACCCTTAAGCTTTACGGCTTAAGACCCTTCCAATCACACTTGTTTCTCTGCCAAACCATATTCCCTTGCTAGCCATTAGTTCAAACTCATGTGCACTGAGATAAGAACCAATAGATACCTTTGCTCCTTCCACCTAGAAACCCTGTTGATTCAAACTTGTACACAATCTCAACAGTTAAGAACCACTGCATTTCTTGAGATTACTTGTACACATCTCCGTTCATCAAAACCAATATTGAACATAAATACTTGTTCAACCTTCTTGTGCTACTCTTGAAGCACTTTATAGCAGCAACTTTCACATCAACACACCTTTGATGTCATCTTCAGCTGTAGAATTCACCCTGCAATACATTAACCTGTATGCAGACTCCACCCAACGGCTTAGACCTTGCACCAATGGAATTTGCAGCCTTTAACCTAAAAACCTTGTTCTTTATCATCATCATCTTTAGATCCTTGAAGAAACTTCACTTAGCTATATTAGATAAGAGAAACTGATGCAACTCAAACATGTTCAAGCTTCGGTTATGATTAGAGTTTGAGTTTATATTATTCTATAGCTCAATATTTTTAGCTTCAAAATGTAATGAAAACTTTCTATGATCAGTGGATGCCTTTTCTACCTTTTTATAGTAAAATGTTTTAAGTAAATCCACATAAAATCTTATAAAATTAAATAAAAGTATAAATAGGCTGCAAATAAAAAGACCATATATCGAAATCGAAAGCATATAAACACATATTTAAAATATTAATTAAGTACAAATAGGTTGAATATGTTGAGAATGATGAGAGTAGGAGATTGGAAGAATTGTATATTGACTCTCATAAGAATTATGATTAAGCTACATACATAGTTATACTACAGATATTACCTAATCTAGATACTAGAAATATATGTAAATATCTTACATAATGAATACACAATATTTGTTATTAATATCTACAATATTCTATATCCCTCTATATGCCCCCTCAAACTCAAGGCGGTGATGAAGTGACCACTGAAGTAAGGCTTGAGATTGGCCGATAATAGATCAAGACGTAATGGAGATCGCAATGGTGGCTAGGAGCTTGAGGCTTTTTTTTCCTTGTGTTGGTGGTGAAGATATTTCATGATGGAGATGAAGAGAGGCGGAGATCCAATGATCCGTGTTTGTGAACCCAGCAGAATGTTGCAGTCATTTTTGATGGAGAGACCAGAAGACATACAATTTGTGTTTATTTTTTCTTTTTTTTTTTTGTCATCGGAAGTCTCGATTTGTTGACATCATGAAGTGGTTGGAGAGGAAGCAACTTGGCTTAGAAACACAGAATAGAAGCTCGAAGGCTTATTAACGGATTTAGAGGCTCGCTTGTAACAAAACTTTTATTCTTTTTTTTTCTTCTTTTTCTTTAATTTTTTCATGTTTTTAAAAATAAAAACAAAAAAAAATAACTGGAAACCACTAAAATTTTAGAAATCCTTAAATATGAAAACAATTTTACAGGAAAAAAAAGACTGTAAAAGTTTATAGCTTAGATTAAGAGGTACTTTGACCTGAATATTGGAAGCACTAGGCTTGGATTCAGAAATATGTAAAAGACTTGAATAATAAGAAGCTCAATGGCTTAGATTCAGAGATTCACTTGAACATGAATGATGGAAACATTTAGCTTAACAGAAAATATAATAAAAGAAGTTTAATGGATTAAAATCGAAAAATAAAGAAGCTCTATGGCTTAAAGAAAATCGAAAATCAGGAACATAGCAGATCGTTAGATCATTGTAGCTCTGATACCATGTTAAAAATGATGAGAATAGGAGATTGGAAGAATTCTATATTGACTATCATCTATTCTATTAAAATAGAGTCATTCTTTTTATCTACTGATATAAGTTGTCATTTAAATTTGGACCCTTTCTAAAGTGTTACGAATAATACAAGTTATATAGTTGATTGAACCGCATTACTTAAATTAAACCGACGGTTATTTATGGAATAGAGTTTTGGGCTTACTTTTGTTTTTATGACATTTAATTGTTTGGTTTTTGGGCTTAATATTAAAGAAAAATTCCAAAAAAAATTAAATAAACTTTGCACCTTAATGGATCGAAAATCAATTACTATTTTCAGGTCCAACAATATTTAATATTTTCAAGAAAACAAAATTATCTATTATTAATCATTTATTTAAATCATATACTTTAAAACATGTTAATATCTTTTAGCCCAAAAATATTTAATATTTTCAACAAAACAAATTTTTTTATTATTAATCGCTTATTTAAATCATGTACTTTAAAATATTTTAATAATTTTTATTTTAAATAACAATCACTCTATCTTGATAAATTTTAGTGGTAACTTTTAAATAATTTATTGTTTTATTTTTCTTAAATAATTTACAGATTTAAAAAAAAAAATGTAAAGCAAAACCAAAAACCAAATCTAAAAACTAAAATTCAAAACCAAAAGCTGAAAACGCAGGTTATATTTTTTGTTTTTTTTTTATTTACAAAATAAACTATTTCAAAATTTTTAGAAAATTATTTTGTCACCTTTTCAGTTTTAAATTACATGTTCGATTAATTGAGATTTGTTTGTTGGTAATATCATTTCTAACTCAGCGGGTCTAAAAATTAAAAACCCAAACCAAAAGCTGGAAATCCAAAATAGAAACTTAAAAACTAAAAACCAAAAACCAAAATTTAAAACAAAATCTAAAAATAAAAACTGAAACTGAAACTAAAAACTAATGAAAAAAAACTATCACCACAAATTTTGGTAAACTAACTTTATACCAAAACATTCTTTAAATTAAGACAAAACCCAATTATATAAATTTTAATCATAAAAAATTTCTGCGCTTTTCAAGCGCGGGTCAAAATCTAGTAAGAATTATGATTAAGCTACATACATGTTTATACTACATATATTACCTAATCTAGATACTAGAAATATATGTAAATATCTTACATAATGAATACACAATATTTGTTATTAATATCTACAATATTATGTATCCTTCTATAGAATAAACATATTAAAAATTATTAGAAGATCATTATAAAAATGTACCAAACAAATTAGGTTAAAAATGTATTATCGAGTTTTAGTTTTACAATATTAAAAAAAAATTAATGTAATACTGATTAAATTTACAAAATTAGTATAATTCAGAATCAGGATAAAATTTATTTCTGAAAATTAATTAATTTTAATTTAAATTATCATAAAATACGAATAGAGTTTCAAATTATTATTTTTTGGTTGATGAAAAAAAAATAAAATAATATATATATTTTAATGATAATAAAATTTAAATTGATTAATTTTCAAAATACATTTTATAAAGATCTTTAAAAGATTTTGTTTGAAAGAAATATTCTTTTCTGTTTCAAATAAAAAATGGAAATTTGCCAAAAATATTACTTTTCTAATACCACATTTTTATTTATACCTTAACCAATTTTACCATTAAAATTTTATAGGTAAAGTACAATTTTAAGAAGGGTGGACACTTCAATTATTTTATCGGTTCAGTTTGGTTAATTTGGTTCTAGAAATTTTCCAACTGAAGTAAACCATAATTAGTTTGGTTTGGATTAGTTTCAGTTTGATTTGTCTTTCAGTTTGGGTCAATTGTATTCCCCAAGTTTAGTTCTTTTTAAACATAAACGCATGGTCATGAAATCATCATGTTAGTGACTACAAAAAATAATTATGTAAACTAAATGCAATATAAGACTAAAAAAAAAACCTTAACAAACAACAACAAAATTTATAAAAATACAATCAAACCAAAGCTAACTAACGTAAACAAATAATTAAAAACCAACAACATTAATAAAATTAATAGTGGTTTTAGTCTTAAGATTTTAGTATATTGTATATTACTAGCATGTTTAATTCAAAGGATGCAACTGAGACATCATCCAAAAGAGGAAGCTACAGTAAAACCTCTATAAATTAATAATGTTGGGACTTTGAAATTTTATTAATTTATAGACAAATTAATTTACAAAATTTTCCTTATTTAGATTTTTTTAAAAAAATTTCCATTTTTATTTATAAAATAAAAAAATATTTTTTTTAGCATATGTACATTTTGTAAATTTTAGAAATTTGACTTTTATATTGTTTATTATCTTATTTGGTGTATATTTTTATGTTTCGTAGAATCGTTACATGGTTTTTGATATAATTTAACTAAATATTATCAAAATATATTGAACGTTTTAAAAATAAAAGTATTTTAATAGTAAATATAAAACCCCTAACTAAATATTATCAAAATATATTGAAATGTTTAAAAAAAATGTATTTTTATAATAAATATAAAACCAACAATATAATGTTAGATTGTACTTATATAAATTTTTATATAGCTAGATTTTAATTTATGATTTTAGTTGGACCATATATTTACATGGTAGTTTTAAAAATATTATTATCTTATTATTTTATCGATTTGTGTCATATTTTACACCGGCCCAAGTTGAGACCAGGGAAATTTATTAATTTATAGAGATTATTAATTTATCGA